TCCGGAGCTGCGGGCGGGAGACCTGCGACCTAGCTCTGTGACTGCGATAGCGACACCAGCCCGGAGGGATCCCCTGTGCCAACCCGGTGTCCGCCCAGAATCCCCGAGTCCTCTCGCCCAGCGGACGCGTGCTGCGGTCAAGCTGGGTCCCTGGACTCAAGAGGACACGCGGGGACCCGGTGAGCTCGGGGAGTCGCAGCTCCACCGCAGACCCCCAGGGGCGCAGACCGCGGAATGGAGGCCTGAGGGAAGGTAAGCTCTGGGCTGGGGTCACAGGATGACAACTGAAGAGCGCTTAAGGTTTGCAAATTAGAGGGCACTCCCCCAGGGCCTCTGCACCCCTTGGGGCTGTTCATGGGGAGTTCTGAGTATGCTCCCAGGCCAAGAGCTTCAGGAACTGCCCCTCGAAGTCCTCATTATGCCCTACTAAGGTCCACCGCGCTTCCGGAGACCTCTCTTTGGCTCTGGATTGGGGGGTCCTGATCTGCTGGCCAGGGCTCCTCACAGAAGCAGGCCTCCAGCCCTCCTGAATGGAACTGCCCATCCCTCTGACTCCAGTGGCATCTCTCCAATCCCCTTGGAGCTGGGAGGAGCCAGGAGGCCCATGCAAACCTGCCCTCAGCTCCTCACAGCATCCCTGGACCCCAGCCTGGATCCCATTAAAGCCCTAGAAGTGGAGGTTTGGATCCTCCTTCTCACCTTAGCCCCAAGTTGTGACCAAAGTCTCCTGCCTGCTCTTGCCTGGCCTCACCCTCCCTGCTTCTGGGTGCTTGGCCATGCCTGCTCCCCACCTCCACCCACTGTCTTGGCTGTCTGGCACCCTCTCTCCTCCCATCCCTGGGGGAGCTGGCATGGGCCCAGCATGGCTGATGTGGTAATGTCCCTGGCAGTGCCCACAAGGAGAGCTGTCAGGCCTGTTCCCAGTCAGTTAGCTCAGGCCCTCCAGCACCAGGGGCACTTGACAGGCTCCTGAAAGGGAGCAGGTGCTTCTGAGCTGAGAGACCCTGGGGAGGATCAGGGGGCTGCTCACAGCCCAGGGAAGCTGCCAGAGTGATGGGCACTGAGGGACTGAGTGCTGCTCAGAGGAGCAAGGCACCTTTCCGGGAAGCAGACCTTTTTCCTTAAAGGAAGATTAGCATGGGTTCCTGTGCTCCTATGTAGTAACCCAGGGCGCACGACTGCTTTGGAGCCCGTTGGTCCATTCAGTGTGCAAGGAGACAGCTGGGCATGACCATGGAGTTAGCCGGATATGGGAGCAACAGGCCAGGATGGCTGAGGATGGGCAAGGCAGGATCCTCATCTGAGACAGCAGAGCCCCCAGCTCCTCACCCTCTCCTGGTCCCTGGCCCTAGACCCTGTACCCCTGCCCTGCTGCCTCCTCCTGGGCTCCCTCTCTCAGCTCCCCTACTTCTGCAGAGGCATCTCCCCAACTCATAGTCATGCAGATGTAGCAAGGCACAGGAGTTCATGGAGCCCTGCAGAGACAGCCCAGCTCATTGCTGCTCCCCTCACACAGACTCCCTGGACACACCCTCAGGCACAGCCAGCACAAGTGCTGCTCCTGGTGCTCAGGGGCTTTCACCCACCACCTTTCCCTGCTCTTCCCTCACACACACTTGCCACTTGTCCCACCCCCTCCTCCTGCCCTTTTCCAGGACCCGGCATGTCCCCTGTCAATGCCCAGTCTGTGTAACTCATTCTACATGGCTGTCTGGCTCCTTCTACGTGGCCAGACCCAGACACTGCCTGCATCTTAAAAGCCTCCCCTCCTCACAGCCTGGGAGTGGGAGGCACATGTGTCTGTGTGGCTGCTCCTGGGGACATTGTCACAAGTGGGAGGCCTCAGGGGACACAGGAGTCTTCTGCTGGGTCATCCACAAGTGGGCTTCTTTGCCTGGGCGGCAGGGCATCAGGAGCCAGAGGAGGGCCACCTCCTTCCTGCCTGGCCTGGATGCTGCCTCACAGCCTGCTGGGCTCCTTTTCAAGACAAAGGCCAGAGCAGGAGAGAGCTGGGAGAGGATCTCCAGGGTGCAGATTAGAGGGAGGAGGCTGCAGTGTTCAGCTGAGCAAGGATTACATTGGAATTTCCTGGGCATTTAACAGCTGCACACCAGGACAGAGGACAGGGCCCCTGGTGCTGACCCCTCCCACGCTGACCCTGCAGGGAACAGGTGTGAGAACCAGCCCAGCACTCCCAAAGGGCACCAAACCCTTGGCCCTTTTGTCCTGAGGATGCTCCCTGAGGCCTTGCCTCAGCTCTGTCTGGGCTTTGTTTCCATGGTGCCCTCACCTGTGCTGAATGCCCAGTCCCCTCTGTTTCTTTGTGTTCCGGTACTTTTCGTGACATGGTGGTAGAGAAGCATGAGAAAATGAGCTCGGGAGAGAGAAGCTTGAGGAACATCCAGGGACAGCCATTATTTCACTCTTATTGCTGTCTCTCTGCTCATTCATCTCCACTTCTACTATCCCTTCATGTCTGCTTTCCTCTTACAGGTGAACACTCCTTACCCCTTAGAGGGCAATGGGGAGGGGAGGAAATGTAAACCTAAGCTGTATTTGTCTATGTTTTAAAAAATTTTTCCTTTCTTTGGTTATATTTTGTTGTATCTATTAAAAAATAAAGTATGCCTATTAATAGAATAGCAAGAAAAAACAATTTAAGTATATTTAAGACCAAGTTCAATTATCCCCACCTACCATCCTGCATTTCTGCCTCCTACACTAAGCAATTTTAATGACCAGATCTATCTCTTTCTTACTTTCTTCCAAGCTCATTTGGCTTACATCAATTAATTTTTAAAAATTTTAAAGTTATATGTGCCAGGAATATGGCTCAGTGGCATCATGCCTACCTGGGAAATACAAGGTCCTGAGTTCGACCCCCAGTACTGAAAAAAAAATTATGCAGATTTAGTAATTTAATTTACTTTTTCCGTTTTCATAGAAAACATACCTCATAGCCCAATACTCTACTTAACTTTTTTCTTTTTGCCAGTGTTTGAAAGCCAAATGCAGCCTAGATGACTATGACCTGTCTTAATTTTGCAAGCAAAGAATTGTAGCAGGGTTATGTCTCCATTGTCTCAGAAAGAAAATGGCATATCCAGAAAAGAAGAGGAGAAAAAAATACAAAATCATAGAATGCAATTTTTGTCACTTGAAACTTCATCTAATCAGTTTCATATTCTGTGTTGTCACTTTACATCCACATTTCTGCTGCTTTGGGCATTTTATATTTTTAAAGCCTCATATGCATGAGCAATGTGTATGTTTTCCTGATTGAGATTAGTCTTCAGCACTTTCTCATGCTCAAAGATTTCTCAACATTGGACAGCTCCCCCCAGGATCTGAACAGATAGAGGAGTCTCAATTGGGGGAGGAGGAGGAGGAGGATGAAGAGGAGGAGGGGGAGGGAGGAACCCGACCTTGCAGAGTCCTCTTGCCGTGTTTGCTGTGTTCAGGACTCTCTCATGGATGAGTGCAGATGTTCCCTCCCTGTCCACAACCACTGCAGGCCCCTTTGGAAGTCAGGCTGTAAGTGCTGCTCATTTAGTATTCCAGGCAGGTGAAGCAGTCATGTTCTTATCACTTGTTTTTCTACCTTTGACACTTGCTTCAGAAGAATCTGCAGTGGTATGAATTAACTGATAGCAATTTATTCCATATCTTAAAGTTTCCTCTTTCCTAAATTTTATTCTTCCAGTAGAGGTACACTCCGATTCCTTTCTATGTCAAAAAGTAAAGGAGTTTAATTTGTCTGGTTTCTTAGATGAGCAGGAACTGACCTAACTCCTTAGTCTGATTCAGCAACATTTTCTTTTTTCATGAAGAAATGAGCTTTTAACCTTCAACATTCTGAATGTAAGTGGTTCTCATCAAATGTTAAAACACACTTCTGGGCACTTTAACGTCTCAACTATTTTTCTTTAATGAATGTTGTTTTTCTTAGCAAAATTTCAAAAAAATTACTCAAGTGTTCATCTCTCCATGTGTCTCCATTTCCTTCTTTTCTTTTGGATTCTTCTGGATGACAGAAGTATAAAAAGAATTTTCATGGCTTCACATATGTCATAATTGCTTTTGCTCTTTTCTGCATTTTCCTGGAGAGAAACCAGATTCATGTTGTGAGATGCATGCTAAGGCCACATAGGCACACCTACTGCAGCCACAAGCTGCTGTATGACTTCTATTAGGGGTCATCAGGGCAAATATACTGCCGTTCCTCATTTGTTAGAATGCTCCTTTGCCCAGTAGACATTATCATCTATGCTGTATTTTTCTATCTTGTTTTGCTGTCTTTCAAACACAAAAAAATTGTTAAGATGTAGCCAAATATTTATTGTTCCTCCTTCTCCATGATTATCTAGTTGGTAAGTTTAGGAAGTCATTGAGCTTATCGTTCCTTTTTTGTGCAGATTCTGGAATTCAGGCCTGTTCTGCCTGAAAGAGTCTATTTTAAAGAACATCTTCTGAGCAAATAGCAAAATAGCTCTCATTGTTTAAGAGCTTGATGTTGGCATTTTCTGATCTTGATACCAGTGCTCTGAACGATTGGGACTGTGGACAAGATCAAGTTACCTTTGGGGTGTTCAGCATGTGTCTGTATTAAGACACTGAGAGTTTGGGGCTGCACCCGCAACTCGAATTACTTCAGCAGTAGTCACAAATTTCAGCCACCAAAAAAAAGTTAAAGTTATGCATGTTCCTTCAGGATCTTCCTTTCTTTCCTGAAGCCTTTATTTAATTTGTGAATAATCTCAGCAGCCTTGAGGGCAGTATTTGTGAAAATCTCCATTTCCTAGAAAGTGTTTACTATAGGCAACTGCTTCCTACTTGCTGTCAGAGCTGTGGTCATACTATATATTTCATACAAAGGCTGTCAGAAGTTGGAGAGCCTGGTTGGTGGATACCCAGTATACATGGGCCTAATACTAAGGTGACTCACCATGGTAGCTTCATAAAAACCAGGCTTTTTTTTTTTTCCATTTTTTGTACTAGGGGCTTGAAAGCAGAAACTTTACACTAAGCTACATTCTAAGCCCTGTTCATTTATTTTTAAAAATTTTGATACAAGAACTCAAGATCTGAATAAAGTTGCTGAGTTTCCTAGTCTGGGCTAGAATTTTCAAGGCCACTGTCTTGATCTCCCGAGTGCTGGGTTTGGAGGCATGTGCCACCACACGGCCTGAAAGCTTTCTCTTGTAATACATACCACTTTACCAGATTAGGAGGAATCAAATTGCAATTTTCTTAATCTTAGTTGAATATAGTCGCATATTTCAATTTCACTTTCATTGAGAAATGTAGACTTTTCCACACCACTCTGGCTCACAGGGCCGCATACATGCAGCTTGCAACTCCCCTTCTGGCTGTTTTAGTTTTGGTTTTGGTTCCAGTCCTCTCTTGAGAAATGTGGGCAATGACCCTATCAGACAGAAATGTATGGATTTTGCGCTTCTGTGCATGAAACACACACAGGCTCTGGGGACTGAGCTGCAAGGAGAGAGGGAGCGCAGTCTCTGTCCGGGGCAGTCTCTGTCCGGGTCAGCGGGCAGAGCAGGTGCTGGCTCACAGGTCTTGGCTGTGACCCTGGAGGTAGCCGGGTCTCTGCTGCTAGACTCCTGGGCACGGTGCTGTGCCTCCGGCAGCTCTGAAGCTTTCCTAAGTCGGAAGCTGTCTGTAGTTCTCGGAAATCATTCTGAGGGATAAATACTCTCTGTGTTCATTGTACTAAGGAGTTCATATCTACACTTTTAAGTGATGATGCGGTTGGAAGGATAAGACATATGCAAGATTTTAAATGTAAAATTCCAGAAAACACAAGGACGGTTAATTCTGCTGGCTGTGACCCCCATTCCCCTTCCTTTGCTTTCTTACCCAGTTGCCTGTGCTCCTCTATAACTGTGCTTCCATATATACGTATGTGTTTGTTCTTCAGATAGCACTTCAGTTCTGCACTTAGCACTACCCTAGAAATGATTTTCTTTCAGCTCATGACCAGTGCCTGATCATCCTCACTGAGGATGCGCCCTCATTTCCTGACAGCTGTGTGTGGATGGGCAGGCAGTTAATTTGCAGCCTTTTCCCTTATAAACAATTTGCATGAGCACCCTTGTTCATAGTTCTGTGCAAACTGGTACAAGTTCTGGCCCCTGCACAGTGTCAGAGCGGTCAAGCTCCCAGACAGGGATTGGCAGTTGTTTTCCAACACCAGCTTCCCACTGAGAACTAGGAGACACCATTGCTGATACTTTGTCCTGCTCAAAGTGTGTTTTCTCAGTGTCATAGGTACAATGACACCTGAGCCAATTCAGGCTGCAGTAGCCGAGTGCCATGGACTGGGTGGGCTGTCACCCATAGACATGTATTTCTCACCACCCTGGAGGCTGGTCCAGGCTGGGGAGCCGGAGTATTTGGATTTGGGTTCAGGCCCTCTTTCCACTTGGAACTGTGCTCTTTTCAATGTAGTGTGATGAGGTAGAAAGAGGGTTACAAGCCCTGTGGGATCTCTTTTATAAGACCCCTACTCCCATGAATGAGGGAACAGCCCTCAGCACTTATTTCCCAAGCCCTACCTCTTTATACCATCCACACAGGGTCAGAGTTTCTATACAGGAATTAAGGGCAGGGGCACCAACATTTGGTGTATAACCATTTCCATGCCACAGTTTTGTTTTTGTTTTGGGGTTTGGGTTACTGGGGATTGAACACAGGGCCTTCACATATAAAAGCCGAGATTACAGACATGCGTGACCTCTCCCAGTCTCTACAGTTGTTTTCATAAGCCTTCCTTCGACTGTGAGTGCACATGAAGTATCTTTTCATGTGTTCAAGCCATACGCTTATTTTTCTCTAAGCCACAGGAAAACATGAGGCCCTGGAGGGAGAGAACTTTTGTTCAGAGATTGTCTGCCAGACCGACATAGCTCTTTCCTCACTCATCTTTCAGAATCTTTATGCCTGTGGTCCTTTTACATCTGTTCCCCTCCCTTCCCTCCCTTCCTACCCTACAGGCATCTTCCTGCACCCCTCTCACTCTACTGCCTCGCTGCATTGTCCAGAGCATCCAGGGAAGAGAGCAGGAGCACAGGGAGAGTCTGTGTGTCAGTGAGCACACAGCAGCCACCTCCCTCCCCAACTCTGATGCGAGGAAATTTCTAATTTCCACAAAGGTGACTGCTGGAGGAAGGAAGGAGAGTAAATGAAGAGAAAGAGCTGGAATCACTCCTTCCAGAAGAAAGGGGTAAGGAGGAGACAGAGTTACCTGGGTTCCTCTTTAAGGAGGAGGCCAGGAGAGCGAACCGCAGAGTCACCGTCACACAGGGAGTGGGAGGTGGCCTCGCCTGTGGGGCTCCAGGATGGTGGAATTTGCAGAGCATACTCATGAGAGACCCTGTGTCCCTGATTCTGCTGGCCCGAAGTCTGTGCCTGGGGAATCTGAGAGCTGTTTGTGGGGACACAGACCAGATCTGAGTGCCTGGGTTAGACATGAAAAGGCATTTTCTCCTCCCTGCCTCTTCTGGCTCTGCATGTCTCCCCAGGAAGCAAGTGTGGCTGCAGATCCCCAGTCTTGTGAAAGCCACGGCCCCACCTGGGAGCAGGGTGGTGGCCAGGGAAATGGTGGGAGCCTTGAAGATGTCCCATGGCTTCTGAGGGCGCTGCCAGGTGGAGGATCAGAGTGGCAGGCATGGTGCACAGCCTTTGGGTGTTGATCCTGGGGCCTGCAGTGCTGGCTCTGGAAGGTAAGGAGGAGGATGCAGGATACTATTTCCCAGGGAGACCAGTGTGGTGGGAAGCGGGAGGGTTCCAAGAGGCAGAAAAGAGTGCAGGTGTAAAAGAGGGGAAGAAATGGTGATCATGAGGGACCTGTATTAGGTATTCCAGAGACAGGTTCCTGACAGAAGCTAAGCTCCTGCTGCCAAGTGAAATGGACCAGGGAAGGACTTTCTTTGGATCCCCTTGGGGTGGAGTGGCTGCTGCTGGCACGGTGTCCCTTTCTTTCTGGCAGAGGTGCTGCTGGACACTACAGGAGAGACCTCTGAGATTGGCTGGCTCACCTACCCACCAGGTGGGGTGAGTCCACTCTTCAGTTGGAGCCCTGTCCCTCTCCATGGTCTTTAAATGTAGGATTCAGGCAGGAAGCCCTGAGTACCTAGGAAGGCTAAGACTCCATGTCTCTGGAAAAAGAGGATCTCAGGGTCTCCCCTGTTTGCCTTCCCTGTCATTAATTTACTCCAAAGAGTAGACAGTTCCCCTTCATTGCCACCCAACCTCCCTGCACAGCCCAGCTAACCTTCTTCCGGCCCCTGCAGTGGGACGAGGTGAGCGTGCTGGACGACCAGCGCCGCCTGACTAGGACCTTCGAGGCGTGCCACGTGGCAGGGGCCCCCACAGGCACTGGGCAGGACAACTGGCTGCAGACGCACTTTGTGGAGCTGCGAGGGGCCCAGAGGGTACACATCAGACTACACTTCTCCGTGAGAGCCTGCAACAGCCTGGGTGTGAGCGGGGGCACCTGCAGGGAGACCTTCACCCTCTACTACCGCCAGGCTGAGGAGCCCGATGCCCCTGACAGCAGCCCTGCCTGGCACCTCAGGCAGTGGACCAAGGTGGACACCATCGCAGCAGACGAGAGCTTCCCTGCCTCCTCCTCCTCCTCCACATGGGCCGTGGGCCTCCACAGGACTGGGCAGCGGGTCGGGCTGCAGCTGAACGTCAAGGAGCGCAGCTTTGGCCCTCTCACGCAGCGCGGCTTCTACGTGGCCTTCCAGGACACAGGGGCTTGCCTGGCCCTGGTGGCTGTGAAGCTCTTCTCCTACAGCTGCGCCCCCGTGCTGCGGGCCTTTGCCTCCTTTCCTGAGACACAGGCCAGTGGGGCTGGGGGGGCTTCCCTGGTGGCAGCAGTGGGCACCTGTGTGGCTCACGCAAAGCCGGAGGAGGACGGAGTTGGGGGCCCAGCTGGGGGCAGCCCCCCCAGGCTGCACTGCAATGGGGAAGGCAAGTGGATGGTGGCCGTTGGGGGCTGCCACTGCCAGCCAGGACACCAGCCTGCACATGGAGACAAGGCCTGCCAAGGTGAGAGCCCGCTTCCTGGCATCTGCCTAGCACTTTTCACCTTCCTCTGACCTTGGCTTCCTCTCCTAAACACCCGAAACCTCGTTTTGTCCTCCAAATTCAGAAATAACCCATCTTCACAAAGGACCTGTGTTCCCCAATTTTATTTTCTGAGGCACACAAGTGCTCACTCATCTGAAATTATCTGGAATGTTCTGGATCCTTCCACAGCAATTGCTAAGGATCCCAGGGCTGCAAGCTAAGAAGTGATGGCTACTGAAACTTAAGCTCCTAGGTTATTGGGTAGGACCCTCTGTTGCCCTTTGCCACCTGGTTGAGCAGAGATTCTTGGAGGTCCATGTGGCTGGGAAGCAGGCAGAGGTGGCCATGGAAATGGCTAAGAATAATGACTGCAGAATGGGGTTATGTAACCCAGCCTGGGACACCCACACCTGGGCTGGCCCCACCTACAGATCCCACAGCCTCTTTTCTGCCCCAGTGACTCACAGAAAACCTTTCTGCTCCTGGGAAGAGATGGGAATGGGGAGCAGGGGATTAGATTTTAGGAAGGAAAGAGGATCCACTCTGGGCAGCAGAGGTCTCTGTGCAGGGGCACTGGGAGCTCAGGGTGTGTAGGTGCTGTGAGTGTGATGCACCCTTTTCCTCTGCCTCCTCAGCCTGTCCTCCAGGGACCTATAAGGCCTCAGCTGGGAATACTCCCTGCTCACCGTGCCCTGCCCGCAGCCAGGCCCCTGACCCTGCAGCCCCCATATGCTCCTGTCTTCAGGGCTTCTACAGGGCCAGCTCTGACCCACCAGATGCTCCCTGCACTGGTGAGTCCCTCACTGGCCCAGCGTGGAAAAGACCCAGGGGTGGTACCGGAAGTGGGGGATACAAAACTGGGGTGTAGCATTTGGAGTTGACTTTGTCTTTCTCCTGTTTCCTTTCTTCCCTGTTTTCCATCTCCCTTCCTTTCCCCTCTTGCCTCCTCTGGTTTCTGCCTCTCTTTCATGTTCTCTTCCCCTCCCCTGGTTCCTCTACCCTCTTGACCTTTCCTCAATGGCGTCCTTTACCACTCCTTCCTTCTTGGCTGTGCCCTTGCCACACCCTCTGCCTCCCAGGCCCTCCGTCAGCTCCCAGGGAGCTTTGGTTTGAGGTTCAAGGCTCTGTGCTCATGCTGCACTGGCGCCTGCCACAGGAGCTGGGGGGACGAGGAGACCTACTCTTCAACGTTGTGTGCAAAGAGTGTGGTGTCCAGCAGGAGCCTGGCAGTGGGAGCACATGTCGCCGTTGCAGGGATGAGGTGCATTTCGATCCCCGCCAAAGGGGCCTGACTGAGAGTCGAGTGTTAGTCGGGGGTCTCCGAGCACACATGCCATACATCTTGGAGGTGCAGGCTGTCAATGGTGTGTCTGAGCTCAGCGCTGACCCTCCCCAGGCTGCATCCATCAATGTTAGCACCAGCCATGAAGGTGAGTCCTTTTCCTCCACCTTGAGGACACCTTGCCTCAGCTCCCCGCTTTCTCCACACCTGCCCTCCATCTGGCCTGCATTCCAATCCATAGTCTGAGCTTCATACTCCCCACCCCGCCCCTACAATTTAGTCCCCTCTGCAGTCCCTGTGGTACACCAAGTGAGCCGGGCAGCCAACAGCATCACCGTGTCCTGGCCACAGCCTGACCAGGCCAACGGGAACATCCTTGACTATCAACTCCGATATTATGACCAGGTGGGCAGAAGGGAGGGCAGGGGTGCTGCAGCAGGGCTGGAGGGAGCTCGCAGCCCACACAGGGGCTGATGTCTGAGGGACGAACAAAGAGTTGCCAAGGTCCTGGAGCACAGGAATGGGTTTGAGAACCCAGGGGAGCCTTGGGGATAAGAGCAGGGGCAACGGGCCTGCCCAGCCAGGCAGGGAGTGAGTGGCTATGCCCCCCAGGCAGAAGATGAATCCCACTCCTTCACCCTGACCAGCGAGACCAACACTGCCACCGTGACGCGGCTGAGCCCAGGACACATCTATGGCTTCCAGGTGCGAGCACGGACAGCTGCTGGCCATGGCCCCTATGGGGGCAAGGTGTACTTCCAGACACTGCCGCAAGGTGAGGGGAGGCCAAGGCAGGCAGGGGAGGCTGGAGGGATAGTGAGGACTGGCCAGGCCTATGTAAGGCATGAACTTCTGCCCAGTATGCTCCAGAGGCTCTGGGGTGTGAGAAGAATGCTGTGGCTGATCCCTGACCTTAGGAGCTAATCTTTGACCTTGAGGGCTTTCTGGGAGTGTGTGTGGCCTTGGGAGGATTGTGGGTGTAGATATGTGTGTTTGTGAATATGTGCTGGGTGTACATATGTCCTGTAGAGGTTGTGGGTGCATGTGAAAGATTCAGTGTGTAGGTGCATATGTGTATGTGTGGGTGGGTATGGTGTAGAGTTTGGGCAGTGTACCAGCCTGTGAGCCTGTATGTGCATGTGTGTGCGTGTGGTGTTGAGTTCAGGTGTGTACCTGCTTGTGTGTGGGTATGACCTGAGCTTTCGGGTGTGTGCCTGCTTGTGTGTGCATGTGTGTGTAGCTGTCTGTATATATAGCTGTGTGTGTGTGTGTGTGTGTGTGTGTGTGTTTGTGTGTGTGTATGGGGTCTGAGATAGGCATGTACCTGTGTCTGTGCTGCATATCGATGTGCCTTGAGGAGTGTGTGCTCTGTGTAGCATACGTGTATCATCATGGGTAAAAAGCCTGGCCCCTGTGACCCAGGTACTGTCCCTCAGGTGAGCTGTCCTCCCCACTCCCAGAAAAGCTGTCCTTGGTGATCGGCTCCATCCTGGGGGCCTTGGCCTTCCTCCTGCTGGCGGCTATCACTGTGTTGGCCGTTATCTTCCGACGGTGAGGACCCCCGGCACTCTTGCTCAATACCCTGCCACCATTCCTGTCCTGACAGACATCCTTCTCCCATGGCCCAGACCCTGCCCATGCAGAGGTGGGGAGGAGCAGCCTGGGAGTGTCCCTCCCTCCTCTGGACTTGGCTGGGGAGCAGTCTGCCTAGCAGGATTGTCGAGGTGGGCAGCAAAGGGTAGAAACAGGTTCATCATTCCGGGATGATGGTTTGTCCCTTAGGAGGCATCGTGGGACAGGCTACACAGAACAGCTGCAGCAGTACAGCAGCCCAGGTGGGGGCAGTGAGAGGGACCTGGACAGGGTTTGGGGGACTTGAGCAAGGTTGATGGGGGCCTTTGATACTGCCTCCTGGAGGTGAGGGGGCATGCCTGGCTGTGTGGGCACCTGGCCTGGCATCCTCTCTCATAGCACCCCTTACCCTGCAGGGCCTGGGGTAAAGTACTATATTGACCCCTCTACTCATGAGGACCCCTGCCAGGCCATCCGAGAACTCACCCGAGAAGTCGACCCTGCATATATCAAGATCGAGGAGGTCATTGGGGCAGGTACTGCAGGGACAAGGAGGGCCCAGGAGAGCCTGAGGATCCCTCTCTGGCTCCCTAGGCCAGGGCTCCTCTAGGCCCAGGTTTCACTGACAGCACCCAACCTGCATTCCTTCTCCCAGGCTTCTTTGGAGAAGTGCGTCGGGGCCGCCTGCAGCTCCGGGGAAGGCATGAGCAAGCTGTAGCCATCCAGGCCCTGTGGGCTGGAGGTGCTGAGAGCCTGCAGATGACCCTCCTGGGCCGGGCTGCCCTCCTGGGTCAGTTTCAGCACCCCAACATCCTGCGGCTGGAGGGCGTGGTCACCAAGAGCCGGCCCTTCATGGTGCTGACGGAGCTCATGGAACTTGGGCCTCTGGACAGCTTCCTCAGGGTCAGTCCAGCCTGGTTGGAGGAGGGTCCTTGGGGGCAGGAAAGCTTGGGGTTCTGACCTCCTCCAGGAGACATAGCCCTCTAGTTTGGCTCCCTCCCACCTCACCTTCCATGGTGGGCTTCATCCTCCTTCCCAGGACATTTTCTGCTTCTAAGATTTGCCATCTGCCCCCACCTGCCTCTCATGACAGTGTGTGCTGGGCAGCATGTCCAGGTTCCTGATCCTGGAGCTGACCTCTGCACCCTGCCCCTCAGCAGCGAGAAGGCCACTTCAGCAGCCTGCAGCTTGTGGCCATGCAGCGAGGAGTGGCCGATGCCATGCAGTACTTGGCCAGCTTCGCCTTTGTGCACCGAGCACTCACTGCCCGAAGTGTGCTGGTGAACAGCCACCTGGTGTGCAAGGTGGCCCGTCTTGGCCACAGTCCTCAGGTGAGTGTGGAGTCTGGGGACTCAGCATCCTCTGCAGGTGCCAGAGCATGAGCTGGAACCTGGGGTGGGTTCCTGGGATGGGAGTCTCAGTGTCTGGGTACTGGAGGCTCACCTGCTTGAGAAAGGAGAGAAGCTGGGGCAAGGGGCAACTGAAGGATTTCAGAGACTGAGGCAGAGAGAAGGGACCAGGGTGGGCAGAAGAACTGCACAGCTCCAGCACCAGCTCCTGCCAGCTCCCTAAGGTCAAAAGGCACAGCACAGCTGGGCAGTGTTGACTCTTCAGGCCTAGACCAGTTCATATTCTCCATGCCTCAGCTTCCACATCCGATCATTGGGAGCATTAATTGGGTGCCTGAGGTGAAACCCTCAACACACATCTGAGCACAAACTCAGTGAACATGACTCTTGGTAAGATTATGACTAGTTTGCTTTTGATTCCATCTCTCAGAGTTCAAGTTGCTTGCTCCGCTGGGCAGCCCCCGAGGTCATTGCACACGGAAAGCATACAACGTCCAGTGACATCTGGAGCTTTGGGGTACTCATGTGGGAAGTGATGAGCTATGGAGAACGCCCCTACTGGGATATGAGTGAGGAGGAGGTGAGCACTTGACCCTGGTGCTGCTTTCTCCACCCCATCCCTCCTAGGTGCATGTATTCTAAGATCTCCCTCCTAAAATCTCATGGCTGGCATAGTCTGTTCTGCCTCATGCTGCCCTTGATTCCATCCCACCCCCTCTCCCATCTCTGGCTTCTACTAGCGATCGCTTCCCACCATCTATCCTTCCACTGATCCCCAGGTCCTCAATGCAATAGAGCAGGAGTTCCGGCTGCCCCCACCTCCAGGCTGTCCTCCCGGACTACATCTTCTGATGCTGGACACCTGGCAGAAGGACCGTTCCCGGCGGCCTCAATTTGACCAGCTGGTGGCTGCGTTTGACAAGATGATCCGCAAGCCTGACTCCCTGCAGGCTGATGGTGGAATGGGGGACAGGTCTGGATCTTGGGGCTGGAGCTCGGGAGAGCCAGGGAGGGTAAATGCAAACTCAAGGAAAGCTGAGGAGAGAGGGCTAAGATGAAGAGGAGACCTTGACCTGACCTTGCCCTGCTTGCCCCTCCTCACCTTAGACCTTCCCAGGCCCTCCTGAACCCTGTGGTCCTGGACTTTCCTTGTCTGGACTCGCCTCAGGCCTGGCTTTCAGCCATTGGACTGGAATGCTACCAGGATAACTTCTCCAAGTTTGGCCTCTGCACCTTCAGTGATGTGGCTCAGCTCAGCCTGGAGTAAGCAACGGGAGGCATGCGGGAGGGCAGATGCTCTGGGCTCCAGGTGAGAGGGCGAGTTTGGGGTCTTGGACCTGATCCGCTCCCCCCCACCCACCCACCAGAGACCTGCCTTCCCTCGGCATCACCCTGGCTGGGCACCAGAAGAAGCTGCTGTACAACATCCAGCTCCTCCAGCAGCATCTAAGGCAGCCTGACTCAGTGGAGGTGTGAATGTGGCCTGCCTGGGCGAGAAGCTGTGCACTGACAAAAGCCCAGGACCTCACTGGATGTGGGTCCAAGGAGAGATGTGTGAGATGTGAGCAAGGCTCCGTGTCTACCTCCATGCCTGCCACACTCACCCTGGCCCTCTGGAAATGGAAACTGTATTCCCCAGTCCTCCACCCCTCCACCAGCCTACCCCACATTAAAGGGAAAGAAGGGAATTTGCAAGTTCAGG